AGATCCAGATGACTTAACACCATTTACATAGAGCATTATTGTACATAGAATATGTAAATAATATAGACTTTATCATAATAACGGACTCTCAAAGTGTTTTGTCTAGTTTAGGAAATAACGGGTACTTAATTCCATTATATGTAATTGAATTTCGAGGTAATTTGTAGGGGGGGTGGAGGGGGGGCTCCCCCCGACATAAATGATTTTTGGCGGAAATGCAGTTTTTTTTTTTTACCTAACCTAAAATTTCATAAAATCTGTTATATGTAGTGGAATTTCAGGGGGATAGGTATTAGGGAAGACCCCTCAGAGGGAAGGGTAACCCCCCCCCCTCCCGGCGTTTTTTTTTTACAGAAATGATAATTATAAAAAATTAGAGGAGTTTTAAAGGTAAATCTGTACTTCCAGAGCCTAGAGGTGATATTTGATTTTTCTGTAGAAAAAGTCTATTAACAAATTTTTCTTTCTGGCGCTTCGCCGGCCGCTGCCGCGGCACGCTCGCTTCGCTCGCTCGGCTCGCGCGTTAAGGTCACAACACTAACCTAACCTAACCTAGTGTGACTTGGGCCTTAGATATACAGTTTAGCCGTTTAAATAAAACAAATTTAAACACAAACACTGACTGACAGATCTCATTAATGGCGGTAAATTGTCACATTTTGACAATAGTACCAACATAATAAACTTATATTTACCATAGACAACGAGAAACATGTTATTTTTGCATAAAAAAATGGCAGCACTGATCATGAAAATTGCGAAAAAAAAATTTGTCAAAATTGACTCATAACCTACAAAAATATTAATTTTCAATAATTTTTTTCTCGAGTTCTATTCGTTTCCGCCAAAAAAATATCGTGTACGTGTTTTTAATAGTTAATACTTTGCGTGACAAAAATTTCAGCTTGCAACTCAATTACATATAATGGAAAGGTGAGCCAAATAACGTATTTAGGCATAATTTAAATTACTTAATTTTTTATATAAGATTACACATATTGCAAAACAAAGGGAAGATGATCAAGTTTCTGTGGGTACCATCACACCAAGGCATAACTGGTAACGAGGTTGTAGATAACGTTACCCATAACAAACCTGATGAAGATCATACTCAAATTTGCAGAGTACCGTACACCGACTTTAACACTTATTTAACTGAGTCCCACAAACTGTTGTGGTCCAATTATTGGCATCATGTTGCTTCAGAGAAAGGGAAATGGTATCACGACATACAGAAGACATTGCCCGCCCGTCCGTGGTATCATCCTAAGCAACTTAAAGGAAATTTAAACCGCAACTTTATTACCACCACCTGCCGCATGAGATTTGGTCACTGTAAAATTCCTGCTCATCCACACAAGATCCGAATTGCCAGGGATTCCAAATGCATATTCTGCGAAGAGGAAGGAGCAGACTTGAATCATCTGATTCTGAAATGCCGTCATCAAGATTTTACAATATACAGACTTTTACTGGTCAGTGAACTAAGTGACATTGACAGCTTGAATAAGGTTTTATCAAGTGATATTAGTGATGATAATATTCTACCTAAACTGCTCAATAATACATTAAGTTTTAAACCGCTTGTTAAATATTTAAATAATTCAAATATAACGTTATAAAATTTATCAACACAGAAGAATGGGGAAAACTTTGAACGAAGATAGTAAAACCTTCCTGGTCCGGCAGAAAAGGGCTAGAACCCAGTGCCGTAAAACCAAAATAGAAAAAAAAAAAGCGAGATAAAACTGATTGGTTATTTTTGTTTTACCTTGTAAAGTCTACCTACGAGATATTGGCAGCAGTGCTGTCATATCTACCAACTTTTTGGTAGATCTACCAATTTTCACTTCAGTCTACCTATCTACCACCCTAGACCTAAAAACTACCTATTTTTTAATTAGTTTGACATATCACCACTTTGAATTGTTTTTATATGGACGAACGACGTTGCGAAGTATTGCGTGAGCAATGCAACGATGCGTCAAGCATACATAGAGTCCAGCAGGCCAATTATGCTCGCTAATTGTGATATTGTTTTGATGTCTATTTCACATTACGTATTATGCTCTCCGAAAAATGCGATATCAAAATGACATCAACTTATGCTATGATGATGATCAACTCTTTAAAATGATATCAACTTAAATGCGTATTACGTTCAACTTTTTGACTTAAAATAGTATCGCATAAACGTCAAAAATGTGATACAGGATATGATATTGATATGATCTTGATGTCACATAGGAATGTTTCATAATACCATATAAAAACAATGTCAACTTGGCATCAACATCATATTGACATCACATTAGGATTTTATTACTGAAGCTTAATTGACCCGCAGGCCAAAAACCACAGTTCGCCATGAGTTCGGCGTTCGCACAATTTCGCGCCCATATTTTACTATTCCTACTGTGGCCTATTCACGGTTGGTTTGTAGCAGAAACAATGTTGAATCTTTGCTCCTGTTTTATTGTAAAAACTAATTAACTGCGTATTAACGGTGCTGATTGCTGTTGGTTCTATGTTGCGTGCATTTATTTATATAAAGGATTCTGACAGCAGCGAAAGCGATGCACATAGTTCTAGGTTAGGAACTCCGCCAACAAAACCTAGAAAAAGGCACTATGACCAAAATATACGAAATTATGGGAGAAAGACAAGGAATTTGCAGGCTGGCTTCAAGAAATTACTAAGGGTGACGGATATTTTTATTGCAAATCATGTAGGTGTGATCTGAAGTGTGCTCTGCATTGCATGCATTTTTAATCTTAAAAAATCTTCTAAATTGAGGTGGTAGATCTACCAATTTTGCATTTTACATTCTACCAACTTCTACCAACATTTGGCACATAATCTACTAATTTTCTAAAATTCGGGTTGGCAGCACTGATTGGCAGAATTCTGGTAGTCACAATCTATTAGCCATTCATTATAATTAAGAAAGAAAGCCAGTGTTGCCAGATCAGGGGATTTCCCCCTAGATTTAGGGGTATTTCGTCGGGCTCAGGGGAGAAACAGGGGGAAAAATTTTTTAGGGGTTTTTCAAAAAAACGCGAATTATTTTTGAGAAAGTTATTCTTTTCGATAATTTGAAAGAATAAAGTCATTTGCATAACGAACCGAACGAATCGTCAGATATTAAGAAGTCGGGTGGTCGCGGTCGCGGGTTAAACTTGATTGAATCACTTGACTGCTGCGCCACGGAGATATGATGAACAAATATTGGCAGAGGGAACCCCCTGTCAATATTGAAACTGTTTTTGTCCACGCGTTTTATCCACAAACCCTAACCTATATTACGAGTAACCTTTTCTAACCGCAATAACCTCAAAACCTCATTCTTTTGTACAGTTTTTAACACACTAATCAGTTATTAGTTTTTTATACACCCAGAGCTCATTATAATAACATGCATTTGTCACTCACTGCATCTCGCCGCGGAACAAGCCTGCAAGACGTTGCCAAGGCATATGGATTTTTTGGTACGGGAAACCCACCTTTGGTTCACCCATAGTACCAAAAGACAAATTGCATATGCAAAAATTTATCAAACGCTTTCAGATAAATTGCCAAAAAAAATTGTTAAAATGTCCGATACGCGTTGGTTAGTTCGACTTCAGGCTGTTGAAACAATATTGGAGCAATGGGATGCGTTGAAACTTCATTTCCAAATCACTGAAAGTAACGACGAGCGCTGTTATATAGCGTCTCAATTGCACGCAATGTACGCCACACCCGAAAACAAGCTATTTCTAACATTTCTCGCCAATAGCCTGAAAGGTGTTGTAGGACTGAATAAGTTGTTTCAGTCTCAGAACGTTGATCCCGTCAAACTTTTCGAAGACCTTAACAATCTGATGTACAGTCACCTGCAAACCATCGTTGTACCATCTCAACTTCAGAAAGTATCGCGCTATGAACTCGGGACCTTTGATTTTCTTCAACACTTAATGAGCTTGCAATGTGTAAATTTCGGATACGATTTCAACAGTCTTGCTTCGAGCATCAAGCCTGAAACGCTGGTCAATATTAAAGAAAGATGCAGGAATTTTTTAATCACATTGTGCCAACAATTGCAAAAAAGATTGCCCGAGAATATAAAAATTCTCGAAAAACTGTCGACTTTTTCGCCGAACGTAGCTTCATCTCAAGTTAAAGTCGATATCACTGAGATAGCAACCAAGCTTAAAGCCAGTGTGTGCACTGACATCGACAGTACTGTGAAGGAATGGAATCTTCTTCACACTGCCAAAGTTTTGAATCTCCAAAATACCGAAGATTATTGGGCCGAGATTTTCGACATTAAAAATGCTGGCGGACAAAAACGGTTCGGTAATATTGCGCAGCTCGTACTTGCTCTGTTGTGCTTACCGTTTTCGAACGCTTCGGTCGAACGAGCTTTTTCAATATTAAATATTGTTAAAGACAAACTGCGCAACAGAATGTCAATTGCAATTGTAGAGGCAATAATGCACGTCCGACTCACGCTTGGAGTCGATTGCCGCGATTTCAAGCCTACGGTTCTCATGCTCAAACGTTTCACTTCTGAAAATGTTTATAACAACATCAATGATAGTGACCTCGAAGTCCTTAATGTTTTCCCCAGTGATGAATTTTGATACGAATCAGTATCTTCATCGCAAACAGTCATTAAAAGTCGAGAGCATCCATGACTAATTGATATTCTTCTCTATGTATTTTTTTTCCACTTATGATACGAATATATGTGATAATTTCTATAAAAATGTTATTTTGAAAAAATAAAACTAATATTCTCCGTTAAATATATTTTTAATTCATTTTATTTTACTCGTTATTATGTATAATTCTATTTCAAGGCGTATGTTTCGGGATTTAGAATTATATATTTTCGTGATTTGAATTTCGTGCTTCAGAAAGTAGGCGAGCAGGCGAGTGGGGGCATTCAGGGGATTTTTGGGGGGAAACTGAGCGACGCTAGGGGGAAGGCACGGAGACCGTCTGGCAACACTGAAGAAAGCAGAACCAAACATTTTGCATTCCGTGTTTAGATATTTATGACAGAAATACAGAAAAAGCTACATAATATTATTAAGCTGTAAATAGCATGTTCCAATGCATCAAATAAGTACAATGAGTTTAAACCGACTTATTCACTCACAAATAAGGTATAGTGTTTGGAATTGGCAATCCTCATTTTCTGGGTCAAAAAACAATTACTCCAGTAACACACTTATTCTTGGAATAGAAACTTCCTGTGATGACACTGGATGTGCAATAATAAGCGGACAAGGCAAAATACTATCACAAAGTTTGTATTCTCAAAACCTTGTGCACCTTAGAAATGGAGGTATCATTCCTGACATTGCTCAAGAATTACATCGAGCCCATATTGAACCAGTTGTAGCAGAAACATTAAATAAGGCAGGTGTAATAATGGAAAACCTTACAGCTATTGCTGTTACATTAGAACCTGGTCTACCATTAAGTTTGGCTGTTGGTAAAAAATATGCTAAACATCTAGCTCGAAAATTCAACAAACCAATAATACCAATTCATCATATGGAAGCTCATGCGTTAACACCCAGAATGGTTCATGACATAAAATTTCCATATTTAGTCCTTTTAATATCTGGAGGTCACTGTCTCTTAGCTGTTGTACAAGATGTAAAGAAATTTAAACTTCTTGGTGAAAGTATTGATTGTGCTCCAGGAGAAATATTTGACAAAATGGCAAGAAAGATGAAATTGAGAAACATACCAGATTATTGTAAAATTTCTGGTGGAGAAGCTATTGAATTGGCTGCTTTGAAAGCAACTAATCCTGACATGTTTAAATTGCCTTTACCGCTTACCGACTATAAAGATTGTAATTTTAGTTTTAATGGCTTAAAAACATCTGTGTTTTACCATCTTTACAAAAAAGAGAAGGAGCATAATATTGTTGCACATGAATTGATACCTGAAATTAATGATCTCTGTGCTGCTGCGTTAATGGCAGTAACTAGACATTTGATTCATAGGACTCAACGTGCTATAGAGTTTTGTCATTTAAATAAACTAATACCTGAAAACAACAAGCAGTTAGTAGTTTCAGGAGGGGTTGCTTGTAACAATCACATTTTTAGCTGCTTATCAGAACTTTGTAAAGAATTTGACTATAGAATTTTTAGACCACCCCCAAATCTATGTACAGATAATGGAATTATGATAGCTTGGAATGGTTTGGAGAAATTGAGAAAAAACCTAGATATAGTGACTGAAATTGATTCATTAGACATTAAAGCAGATAGTCCCTTAGGTGAAAGCCTTATATCAGAAGTAAAAAAATCTAAATTAAATGTTAAGATGTTAAAAATAAAACAAGCAAGTTAACTACTTTGTCTTACTTATTCAGTCACCGTAAGCGCGGCTTTGCCTAGCCATAGCAAATCTAAACATACTGGAATTACTTATCTGCTTACGTTCGGTGGATGCCTGTTTGATGGTAAGCCAAAAGGCGAGTTTCGATCTCTTTCCGAGTTCACCAGCCTATTAATGTGCCCACTGTTGTGACACAGAATTCCTATGGAAGTAATACAATGGAATAGGGAGATTGGGCCATGACCAGCGTTGCCAGACATCCCTATTTTGGCGGGACGTCCCGATTTTTAAATCACAATTAATAGTCCCGAGCGGGACATGCTCAATCCCGCTTTTCGGGAATAATTCGCCCGTGCGTGCAGCGTACTGAGAAAGCGCGGGCGGGTGGCACAGACAAGTGGCCGCCTGCCCGGCGCTTAATGAAGAACTCTCAAACAAAGACTCAAACGCTATTTAACGATAGGGTAAATCTGATTTAAAATATCATATTTTTATTAAAGTACATTTTCTATGGATATTGTTACTAGGTATCTATTGTCACATTAACATAATTTGAACTCAAATAAAAAAATGAATATTCAAAAACCTTTTTACTATGTCCCGCTTTCGAGGAAATAATCCCGCTTTTTTCACTCAAAAAGTTCCAAAATCCCGACTCCGTAAAAAAAAACTGCCAACGCTGGCCATGCGGACCCATGCGCACGTACCCACCATGCGGGCCCAGTGCGGATTGGTAGGTGCTAACGACTGCAGATGCAGATGGGACCAACTGCTTAACATGTCTTCCGAAGCATGGAGGAGCTCGGTATAGTAAATTTTGGTCACCCATTCCATGCCCGACCACTCCGAAAGTTGCTTAACTTCATCGATCGCAGCCGAACGCGCTAACCACTTGCGCCATCGCCTCCTTTAACGGACCACTTGTATTAAATTCATGAATAAACCAATAAAATTGTATACAAAATTCGCATTGAGAAATAATATATTTTAGAGCTGTACTCTTATCCCCTTATTAATAAACGAAGACTAACCTTGGATTAGTTACTCCATGTTTTGTCTCTGTTCATTAATAATAATATAATAATAATAATATAATTTATTTCCAGTAAGAGTTGATTTACAATTTAACTTATAAGGCTAAAACAGTACTAATATCTCTAACATATAATGCCTGTATTACGGCATACAGCGCCAATCCCCTTAGCACATATGGTATTATAAATCCGTTACATTCAAAATTAAATGGAATGGAATGGACAAGAAACTGACATATATATTCAAAAAATGTGTGTGTGTGTGTGTGTGCGTGTGTGGTGAGTGTGTGTGTGTGTGTGTGTGCTAGTGAGTTTTGCGTATAATAATATGATATGTATGGTATGGACTGTACTACATTATGTATATTATTATGTATTGTTACATATGAGCTAAATTATTTAATGACCTGCAATATTTTTTCTGTTTCATCATATGTAAGTGTTTTTAACCATGACGTTATTGTCATTTTACATTTATAAATAGTTAGAGGATATATGTTTAGTGTTTTATTTATTTTATTATAGATTAGAGGTCCTAGAAATGTAGGGAACCTATTACTAAAAGCAGTCGAAAACCTGTTTTTAAATTGGCATATGAATCCTCTGCGAGTAGATTGCATTTTAGGATTAAATTCTGTTTGAGCATGTTGTTTGATTACCAGGTTCAAAATAAAAAGTTGGCGGACTGTAAGAACATCACAATAACTATACAATTCAGTTGTTGAAAAGATAAAAGGTTTAAAAGTACAGATTTTTAGTATTGCCCTTTGTGCGATTTCTAATTTCTTAAGTACTGTTTTTGCCGCCCCACCCCAGCAGACTATACAGTAAGTAAGAAGAGATTGACACAATGCATAATAAATTTGTTTCAAGCGGTTTGGTTCTAAAATGTGTCTAATATTTTTGAAGATATATATAAGTCTACGTACTCTAGCACTTACTAATTCAATATGTTCACGAAAATCGAGGTGAGCATCAATAATAACCCCAAGGTATCTTAAACTGTTTACTTTTTCAAGGCTCACACAAGAACAATCCAGATCACACGAGGAGCGGGCATGCGCTAAAATTTTATATTCTTTATTTAATGTAGCTTGTCGAATTGAAAACTGGATATATTTAGTTTTTGCAATATTTAATTTGTGTAAATTGTCATTGAATGACAAATGGCATAATGGACAAGAAATCTGCAAAATTTGGCCACTAGGGTCGCTGTAATCGCTTGACCCAAAACTTCTATCAAACCAATACCTATTAACTTATATTCATTTTAAGCTTTTTATTATACAGTCCACAAATGCCGCGTTGTGCAATTCCTGGTTGTTGTGAGAATACTGCATGCTTATATATAAATATAATTTATATGTTGCTTTGAAAGGAGGGGAGGAGGTAAAACTGAGGTGATATTTAGATCATGGTATGTGTCTGGGGCAGATAACTGCATCTGAATGTCTTCATCTTAAAATTAAAATTGCGGTCATATTTTATTTATTTATTATATTATAAGAAATACATTATAATCTTAAGTGTATAACAGTGTATCATAAACCAGTATTGGTTTTCCCGGACACTGCCGTTCGCCATCAAGACCCGCAGGTACGTCTACTCAATCAACAAATTTAAATTAAACCATTCATTCATCAGACATTAATCGGTAAGGTAATGATATTAATATTTTTTTTATATATACCGCACCGCCTTTAGTGAAAAGCTAGGTAGCTGTTGGCCAAACACCGCGCAGAGCAATACACCAAAAGAGTGGAAACACACGGGCTGATTTCGTGTTTCATATTATTTTGTTTTAGATAAAACTAAATCAAATCATGTCGATATTGGTTTTTGTTATTAAAAGGGATAGAAAATATGTTTTTAAAATGGAATTAATGTTACTTTGATTAATTTTATTTTTAATTGTTTCCTGCAGATTATTTATTAATTTAGGAATCTGGTGTTGAAGCAACTGTTTACCATACAGATTGCTATACCTTGGTACTTCAAATATAATCTTTGAGGCACTACGTGTTAGTTTCTTTCGTTGGATGGCATTCAGAAAGTCTTTATTGTGTTAGTTTTCAATCAGTAATGCACAACACACTTGATCATGTATAGGTATATGCCTCAAGTCTGTAAAAAAACGCAATGTTATACTCTCTATTTTAGCCAGAGGTAAAGTAAAAGTTAAGTACCGAGAATGAGCATTCTAGCATAATAATAGAAAGAGTACCTTTCTCCTAGATTAGCTTTTCTGCCTTGCCTCTCCTTTTCAATTCTGTTTTCAGCTGTATTACAGACCATGTTGAATACGTTTTCACCACTTATTCAATATTTTTAACAACAAAAAAGCACGTTTAAAATTTTACAGCTGCAATATTCGGCTCAGGTTAGGGTCAAACGTTTGCAGCGCCATCTATGTCGAGCTTTGCGTATACTTCTCCATTATGAGTGACGTGAACAAAACACGGCGTAACTAATCTAAGCTTATCCCTTGTTTATTAATAAGGGGGTTATTGTTTAAATAGTTTTATCGATAACAGTAGTATATTTTTATTTTAAGCATTTAACTGCTAGATGTTTAAATTTTGTGATTTTAGTTTTATATGTATAAACAATTTGTTTCAGTTTCTCAAGATGCCGATATGAGATGTGAGCAGACGAAGCGTCGTTCGTTAGATGTACGTCTGAAGTTAAATCTTTAATTTGATATCTGGGAACTAGGAGCCTACGAAACGTTCCCAACTTTGTTCGTATAATACAACTGATAAGAACAATTTATCGGCCTTTCCAGCGATTCGTAATAAAATTGCTTGTGCAAATCTTAAGTGGGGGCCTTATTTTAAAAACGCCCTACCTGTATTTACCGCTGCACCATCGTAAATACATATCTGGCTACGGCCCTGGTAAGTTTATATATACATACATTTAAAAAAAATTGGGAGTCTGTAATATTGAAATAACTGCTTTTTACTGCATGCATAGATATACGGTACATACACCAAAATAACATTTATTAAAAAAATTGTCTGTCTGTCTTGGTTCCGGCTTATCTCTGAAATGGCTTTACCGATTTTGACGGGACTTTTATTGGCAGGTAGCTGATGTAATAAGGAGTGACTTGGCTACTTTTAGTTTAGAAAAAATCCTTTATTTTACAAAATAAAAACTAAAAGTTAACGCGGACGAAGTCTAGGGCGGCCGCTAGTAACACATATTTATTTATTTTTTCTAGAAAGAAAAACTACCACACACTGCCTTTTTGCTTAATTTTACGGATTTGGAGTTTCCCATATTATCCAGTCATTAGCGCTACTCTCTGCCCGAAGCCGCTAAGGATGAGGACAGGGGAAGGGGAAGGAATTAACCTAAATATCGATATTACTTGCATCTTTAACCACCACCGCACTTTCACTTGTCATTGTCACTGGGCTGCGTTCAAAACCTACGCTCTGAGTCTCTCGCCTCTTTACCCTGACGTTTAAATTTGACATAAAATGTACGAAACTTATGTCAAATTTGACATTTCTTGAACCTAGACGTAGGTTTGGAACGTAGTCTTGCAACTTATTTCGACATGTTTTTTTTTTTGGCGGGATTTCATCGAGTGCGGTTGGCGTCTTATTTTAATTATTCTTAAATTCGTTCATAGTGGATATTGTGAAATAAAATTGGTGTGGTTTTGTGTAACAACCGTCTGCGTAACTGAAGAATTAGTGGAATCGTTAAAATATACGCTATTCCGGTCAAGTGGACGTGAGAATTTTATTGTAGTGTAAACTACCTCACAGAAGCTTATCGAAAAAGCCAACTCGATACATTTCGTGCCAAACACTCCAAGAAACATTAGAATGCGTCACACCGACATTCTAATGTAAAAAAAAAGAAGATTAATTTAATTAAAGACTAGGCTGTATGGGCATTGTTCCCTTTGCCTTCCCTAAACGGGAGAACTTCAACAAAAAAAAAAAAAATATTTCGACATCGCACGCAGATCGTGGAGACGCCGATTTTTTCTTTCATGTGACAGAGTGCAACTATCATGATAAAATTATAGTACAAAAATATCATTGAGAACCATAACAGTTGCCAAATAATGTGTAGTATCCTCACTCGGTTTAGCACGGTCATACATTAAAGTGCAACGTGAATTTGGTTAAACAAATTACAACATGGAAATCTTAGAAACTATTTACCGAAATGTTAGGGCACAGCTCGCTGGCTTACCGGCTTCTATACCAAAAACTTTAGATTATGTAAACAAATCTGCAAGTAAACTGAGAGTTCCTCCATTTACGAGAGATAATGTTCTATATTACTATTTACCATTACAAGGTCTCTTCAGTTACACAACTTTATCAGTGAGTGTAATGAACCCACATTTGATGGTCAGGTAAGAATAAGCTGGTGCTTTTATATTATAAAAAAAGAACTAGGTATTGTTCAAGTAACTAAAATTTTTCATCTTGGTGTTTATAAATTCTTATGGAAATATTTTTACTTTCCAGATTATTTCCTCGTCGAGATATAACTGATGTGTTATTCCTGTCAGCGGGTGGAGGAGCAGGACTTTGGTTGTGGGCACGTCCACATATGGCTGCTGCAGTACCTGCTAGGCGTTTCTCATGGGCTTTCCTTGGAGGCTGCCTCTGGCCCTTAGGATCAATATTTTTATGGGCAATTCTTAGAAGTTCAGTTGGGCAGCGTCCTATTTTAGGAACAATTCTTGGAATCACCACTGGAGCAATGCTAACAAATATAGCACTTGATTATTTTCATTATGTAGAACTAATGTTTTGTGGTGAGGTTCATTTACCAGAAGATACTAATACACCTAATAGTGATGATGAAAAATATGATATTGATATTTAATCGTTAGGTGATTAAAGCACATGCTCTGTTCTGTAAATAATGCACAAGGTATTAAGAGAAAAGTTTGAGGATATATGATATTATTTGGTAAAGGTTAAGGTTTTTGATTTACAAATAATGAATAATTTAATTTAAAAAGTGTTTATCTAATGATATTCATGTCTGCACCCATTGTTGTATGATTAAATTATCAATGTACTGCATTGTCTAGTCTAGCACAAAAGCTGATTTAAATATATTTGGATATTGTAACTTTACATGGCATTATTTACTATATATTTATTTGTGATTTTAACCTCAGCTCTTCACATTAAACTGTAGATGTATATGTAATTAATATAAGGGTCAGGCCATGACACATTTATTATCTCTGTAGTTACAGAAAAATAATACAATTCACCTCCCCTGTCTTCTTCCCATGGATGTTGTAAAAGCTAGCCAAGGGAAAGGAGAGCTTCCATCCACTTTACTGGTAGACTGAAGTACAACCAGAGGCCCAAGCACGAATTTTTTACAGCTCTGTAACATATCGTAATAGTCAAATTTTGTATGGAAAAAGCTAGTTTGTTCTTACGTCTGATAGGTTTCATAGAAAATAACAATGCAATACTTATTGGAGCTGTCAAAAATTCTGTTTATTACCTGTTTGGATAATCCAGTTGACTGGACCATGGTTATTTTTTTTTTCAGTAGTGAAGTTAACCAGACTTCTGTAAAATAAATACCTTCCTGGTACAGTTAACTGTTTCATGGCATAAGTATATTTTCGTATGTTAAGTTAACTGTACCACTGAAAATTATCCGTAATGTTTCATTATTAGGTAAAACTTTTATCATACTTATCTAAATAAGCTCTTAATCTAGCATTATACTATTTAAAAAGTAAATTGCTGCACTGTTTTTCGTACTATCAGCTCGACAAAATTTGGTAGTTTCATGAAAGTGTTTATTAAGGCGTTTTGCAGACGACGGGGCGGGGAAGGCATTTTGTCCGCGAAGCAATATATGGCCCCCGCATGGCCGGGGGGTGTCGTCGTAGGAGGGTGGATGGGGGAGGTTACGAACACTCCCCCGAGAAGAACTCCCCTGGAGGAAGCAGGGGAACAAAGGCTGCGGGTCCTCAGATGCGATACTCGATCCTGAGGCCCCGTACAATGCCTGATGGCGGCCATCGCTGGGGTTTTAGTGGGTAGGCCTCCCCCTTCGTATGTGGTATGCAATTCAATGCATTTCCCCAGTGTACCAAAAAAAAAAAAAAAAGGCCCCATGCGCTCATATGCGAGCTTCCAAATGATGCACTTTTGATCGGCAACGCGGCGCACTTGTTTGAGCAAGCACACAGAGCCACTAATTGCGGGCACTAGTGGCTCGAGCAAGCGCACATTGAACCACTAAACGACGATAGTAGCTTAGTGACGGCCACTCGACACCTCGTTTGCGCTGATACTATACAAAATGTATGAAAAAACTAGACCGTAGCTTGTATACACGCGTTTAGTGGCTCAATGTGCGGTTGCTCTAAGGGTCAATGGAGAAATAAAACTATAATTCGTATAATGTTTAAAATATAATATTGTTTCCAGTTCCAGTAGTTATTATTAATAAGTAAAGAATGTAGAAATATGACAGGCATTAGTTATTCTGAGGAGGCTTAGACCATTCCACATTCAGAATCAAGTGGTCGTATCCGTGTCCATTGAGTTTCTGTATGGCCTTTGCGGCGTCAGCACGGAACTTGAAATGAATATACGCAAAACCTTTGCAATGGCCAGTACTCTGGAAAAATTATGATAATGTATTATTCACACAAAAATAAGTGTTTACCTAAATGACAATATCAATCATGATGTCATAATAAGTTTCGGAAATAAATACTGAATGTTTCTAAGATAAATAACGATTAATCACAAAGAGTTACGTACCTTCTCTTTGGCAAGATAGAGCTTTTGGACAGGTCCAAAACCTTTCACGAGATCTTCAAGGTCGGCCTCCACGGCAAAATTACTGAGGTTCGAGATACGAATAGCAGCGATATCATCTCTACGCGCGCCTGGGGGCTCTCGGCCTGTTCCACGCCCAGCACCGCCCTCTCTCAAATATGGCGCCACATATTTATTTGTAGCCACTGTTTTTGAATCTACAATTAAATAAATATTGTGTAAGTATAACATATTCTGGGACACTCAGTTTGTAACCTCCAAGGGATTAGATTTTTGGACACCCATCCCTCCTAAACAAAAGCCTTTGTAAAAGTTGCTTCCGTGATTACAGGCCGAACTCAGTAACCACTGCACCATCAAGCTCCTCTATATTTGATTACCTGTACCTCATTTGCACAAAAACGAAGTGCAAATGAATAATGTAGAGAACATCTTGTTAGTTTGTTTTTAATGTGTACAGTGCACGGCTGAAATTCCACCAATGAAGGGATATAAAAGCAAAATAAATTTGTACATTAATCTGCCCAGATTCACCTTATTTATATAACCATTATGGCCTGAGCAGAGGAGGGACTTTTGGCCTCCGCAAACTCCACAAAGAAAACTGAGGACTTGTGACGGACTCGAGAAAACAATTTGCAATATTTTTTTCTCTGAAACTAGAAAAGTGCACTCTATGGAAGTAAATTTTCTTAGATTACATCATTGTGTTGAAATTAATATGAAGTTTAAGAAACAAGGACTTTTAAAATAGAATGCTGGGCCAATATTTTTAAGTCTGATTGTGCAAGCAACACAGACCAAAGTTCGCAGAATGCGTCACTGTGCATAGTTACATTAGTTCCATTTTTTTTGGAGATGGATAAGAACAACCGAGGACACCAGTCTCTTAGTGTTAAAAGTTTTCCAAGGGACTTTCTTTGTATGCGGTACTTTTAATCGCTCATGTGCAATGCAGTTGCAAGTGATCTACTTTGGAGGACCCTAAAGTCCATGGACAGAAGTCCCTAGTCTGCACACGCCATTAATGCAACTTATTTGGTGTGGAATGATAAGCTGGTTAGTAAGAGTAACTGCTTGACAACTAATTGTTATCTATAATGTTGTTTTTACTAAATTATTTACCTCCAGATTTGGCTGCTTCACTGGCCTTGGCTTGGGCCAATTCAGTATTCTGGAATGGACAACTTAGGGTCCAGTGATCGCCTTGACAAGTACGGCACTTGAAGATGACACGACTTGTTGGTGGCTATAAACATATAAAATCTATTAACAACTTCATAAGTAAAAAAATACTGTGATAGCATCAGGTGCCAGACTTTAAAGTAGATTAGAAAGTTTTCATCAGTATAAATTTCTTTTTTATACCACATTTTTCTCACCTAGATCTGTGGGTAAATTTGTTTCAAAGCAAAAAAAGTTAGCCAATGTCACCTAGGAATTATTTAGCTTTCCAATAGTTTTTTTTTCGAAATTGGTTCATAAGTTTTACAGAACACTTCTCACAAACAAGCAAAAAACTAAACTCTATTTATAATTAATTGTCTGAATACAGAAGTTTTTATGACTCCCATCACAAAAATTTTGAATGTCCTCAGCGGACAGGGTTTGCCAACATATTTAAGACGATCCACAGCAAAAATTAAAATTATAAAAACAGAGTGGTGCAGTAGACTATGCTGCTGTAACAAAAAGATTTTAAACTTGCAAAAAATAAAAGTAAAACAGACATGCATTGGTCTTGTACATGTTTCACAGAGAGCAACTTATTCCAAACTTAAAATGAAGAATTTCTAAATTACTTATTTATGTACCTTTAGACCATCCAATTCTCCATCATCAGGTCGTTGACTTTCCTCTTTGCTTGAAATGAATTGCATGGAGACATCCTCAGAAACATTTGTTGTGGCTGGATTAGGACCTGGTTTGTCATTGGCTGAATCACCAAATTTACTCCATGTCTTACGTTTAGCAATACTCTAGAAAAAATTATATATGGATACATGAAGAATTTTTAGTAGCCAAAATTTAGGTTATTGCCACTTGAGTTGGCTAACCATAATTTTATGGCAGAAAGATCATATTTTTAGAAGTCCTTCTGCAAAGATTCAAAGTGCTCAACCTTATTGTATATTACAAAAAAAATATTAAACAATTATCAATATTTAATGACTTAAGTAGCACTTGGGTGATTAAGAACAGGTTCTATTTTTTATTGTAAGGGCTTATTTATTATTAGTATAAACAAAAGCAAATACAAAAGCAGTGTTTGATCCAGAAATTGGATATCAAATAATGCATTAAATTGAGGTAAAAACTTGACTATGAATATTAATGGTCTATGCTATTACAAACCTTAGAAACAACACGTTTTTCTATTTTGTATGTCCGCACGATTTTAACCTTCTTATTGTCATTATCATATTTGTATTCTGTCACAATTTTCAAACCATTTTCCACAACTTCTGAGGGTGGTGGTAGAGCTCCCTGATCAATTTCCACTTCATCTGCCCAAGAAGATTGAATATCATCGGCAACGGGCATCTAAAAATGATTGTTTAATTTTAAGAATTAGCAACAGCACTCGCTTTGCCGTGTTTAGGTTATTTTTAGGTATTTATTGGTTGCATCTGACAAGTGAAACTTAATAACCTATAAAGTTATGAAAGTCGGTGAAGGTAAAATATTAAAATTATTCTGTACTTACGATTTCAAGAATATAATAATGTGTTTATCGTGTTTAACTAAAAAGTATAGCACACAAATTTAATTTTATTCGCAGCCACGCAATCGAAGGCGACCTCGAACTCGAACCACAGATTACTGAGAATAAGAATAAGGGAGGCAGTGTTGCCAACTCGGATTTTGAAAAAGGCGTAGGTCCGATGAGAAAATTACGTAGAATTGGTAAATTTTTCATATGAAAAGTAAGTAGATCTACGTACTTTTTTCTGAGTGAAATGAAGAAGTTATTTGAAACCGAATAAAACGAGTATTTTGTTAAACAATTTGTTTAAGAACGGGAGATAGAACGAAGAGTTCTTGGAGAAGTCGCTGCATTGGAAGCATTTACCATGCTGTGGTAAACATTTACCATCAGACACAGACACTGGTGGGTGCAGATTCTGGATGGTTCTCTAAATTTAAAACTTAATTTAACATCAGTCTCTCCTTTTCATTCTGTATAGAGAATGACAAGGATAAACTGTTGTTAAATGGGCTAGTTGACACTTTTTGGAATTATGTTTTAAATTGTTAATAATTATTCTATCAGAACGAAAAAAAAATTTTTTTTTACCTAGAAGACATACAAAAACGCTCTTTAGTATATAGACTTATCTATGCTATGGCGCCAAAACATTTGTATACAAACGCAAGCACGTAGGAAATAAACTTTCTAAGTTAATATTATAAAACCATGATTTCTAATAGATCACATGAAAAATATAGTAGTTATCATGATACACTTGGTAAAAGACTCTAGAAAAGCTATGGTTTAAATTGCCAAGAGAAAAAACATACTTACACATGAACATATGCTTAAAACTTGCTAAATCCTGTAACTTTATCGACTGAAAGTCTTTTCTTTTTGCAAATATCAATTCGATGTGAGTAGGTACTCATTGATAATAGTAAAAGTTTAAAAATACAATTTTTAAGGTTATGAATGTACCTAATAAGTCAAAGAGTTTTGTCGTTTCTGCTTTCACAAATCCTGCGTCCAGCATTAATTTAGTCAACAAAACCAATAACGGGAACCTTTTCTACAAGATGCAAGAGTGTTTAGATTTATCTTCTTAAATATTCAATATAAAATATTCTTTTACAAATTTGAAAAAAAATAAGAAAATACGTAGATTCTGGGACTTAAGTTAGTAGGTTTCCAGAAAAGGCCTAAAATACGTAGATCTACGTAAAAAAACGTAGAGTTGGCAACACTGAAGGGAGGAGCGAATAAGTCAAACTAGGGATGCCCGGTCTGAACCGATCTTTTAGAAATTGATTCTCGGCAAAGCGATGTAATAATTTTTTGAACCTGAATGTATTGTATAGATTTAACATTTTTTTTTTATGTTTTACGGCCGTGAATTTCTCCATTTCGGCCATTCATACATTTTAAATGTCATCGAAGGTATTCATTACATATTCAAATAATATAGGATATGTATTAGTGTTTTGTATGATAGATGGCAATTGGCTGGGCATTCTGCAGTTATTGTATATCTCTATTAAGCCATCTATCAATAAGATTTTCTGTATAAAGAAGGCAGGACATTCTAAAATAAGATGCTGTAAAGTTTCCACGCTCTTGGATTTACAATACCGACACTCATTTTGGTCTTCTAGTTTAATTCTGTTTAAATGCTCCCGGAATCTTCCATGACCAATTCGTAAGCGGTTCATAGTAGTAATATATTTTCTAGATGGATTTTTAAATTTTTGGTGCCATGGCTTCTTAGGAATCCCATCTTGTATGTTGGCATACTGTCGCGACCCTCATGGGGGCGGGGCTGCCAATGCAGCCCATATCCGTGATACAAACGATCGCGAGATTTTGACGATAGACACGTGACAAAGGGAGAATCGAGAGACGAAGTGTGATTACTTACCACAGATTATATTGTATATACCTTCAAGCACCAGCGAATGTCCGTCCGTGCCTCTCATCATTTTCTTACTCCATCTGTAAGTATAAATAAAATTATGACACCACTGCGTGGTGCCACTAAGTCCCGGAGTCACACCATCACCACGGTATGATTCCAGGATTCATAGAACACATAAATATTGTCATAAATGAGTATCAAGATCATCTATATGTCAATTACCCATGTTAACTCAACAATCTACTTTAGCTGTCTAAACGATGCGGAGATTTCCTAACATGACTTTATGCCATGTGTCCTACGCTCCTGCAGAGCGGTGTGAGCATGAGAGCCAAGCCGTCGCCTGCTCCCCACGCAACCCTTGCATGTGTGCGCCCACATGCAAGAGTCGCGTCGCCCACTTCTTATGGCACTACTATGGAGCGTCCTCCATCTGGCTCAGCCACTATTCCAGCTCCGTCCAGACATAGCGCTGCGCATGCCATAACACTCTCTTGTAGCCTCTTGATAGGGTACCCTAGGACTTGCCTCCTGCAGAAGCCCTTCTCTTTTTATATTGTTATAATTATGTCAATGCCACAGGCGTTTCACGCCCATACTCTCCGGCGCTTTCGCCGTGTGACAGAGTATCTCTTTACCGTGCCGGTACCCACAGGTACATAGGTTAATATCAAGTGCGCAGGTAAGCGCTTATTTTTACACATACAAACTTTTCATGAGATGCAAACCGGCTATCATTTATGTGAACTATTCTACTACTTAGCTTTCGTTATATTCCGTTGGTTCTCGAGCTCGTAGACAGGCACGCATCAGGTAGGCACATTTTTATGGCACATAACAGTTATTAAATAATAGTACAAGGTAATAATAGTATATTAGTTAAAATAGCACAACAAACAAGAAGAGAAAAAAGAGCGGCTTACTTGACATTGATATTAGTTATAGCGGCAATAGGCTAGTTGACTCATGTCGAATTGTATTAAATAAATGTTTATTTCTTAAAATTTTTGGTCTAAGGAACCTAAATATATCGATTTCACTTCATAAAAGCAGAAGATTGCTGTAGAAATTTAATTTAAGAAAATAATTTCTAGTCTATACTTTTTAAACACTAAAAACGCTGTTCGCCACATCCGCCATGATTGTGACGTCTCTTTTAGTAAACAACTAAATGTCATTCATACATAACTTTAAAACTTGAATTATTAAAATTGATAATAAATGAAGAGACTTAAAATATTATTCAATGAGTAGTTACATCAAAGTGATCTTCGCAAAAATAAATTTTACTATGAGTCGATAAAGTTGCAGGATCACTTTTAGCAAGTTCTAACCAGCGTAGGTTAATTTATTTCGGCACTTTAATCCACATCTTTCCTGGAGTCTTCAAGGATGTGTTTTTACATTCTCGTACAATACAATAATGATTATTACTATATTTTTCGTGGTATTTATTAGAAATCATGTTTTCTTTTTTATTATAAACTCAGATAGGTTATTTTCTACGTACTTACGAGTTTTTGTTTACTACCGTCGACGTCATAGCATAGATAATGTATAGACTAAAATGGCCGACAGCGTTTTTGTATGTCCATGAAAAGTCTATTTTAAAATTAAAGATTTGTAGCTTTCTAGGTCTCAAAAAAATACAATACATTTATTTTCGGTCTAATAGAACATTTATTAGCCATTTATAACATTTTTCCAAAAAGGGTCAACTAGCCTATTGATATGTGTTGCCACCTCAAACATCGAGACTGGTGTTGCCGTCGCGACACTCCCAACGGCGAGATTAAAGAGTGTTAAAAAGGCTGCGAGTCCACTCTTGGATCTTTTCCAAGGCTTTGGTCGCAGCGACACGTACTGGTCTGGAGTGTCTTATAACTTGTGGCATATTAACTGTGTCACCATCATGTGAGTCTGTCTTGTTAGTTTCATGATCAGATAAATCATCATCATGTATTGGCACTATTGTATCTGGGTTACTTTCCTTTAGGGATTCATTGTGATTTGCGAAATCTTCTAGAGGCAATTTTTCAATTTCAGGCGTATAGGCATGACTTACATATCTTGTTTTATCTGAAGGTTGGTCAACGACCTTCGCTTGCGTTTCATCATCAATTTTATTTACCTCTAGCTATTTACAGAATACACTCGATCTATTTCACAACTGTACCCAGTTGTGAAATAGATCGAGTGTATTCTGTGATCCCAACTCTAACCTTTTGTTACTCTTATAAGACCATCGTCTTCTGGAGTAAGTGAGACTATTTTCCCCACTTTCCAGCTTTCACGATTTTTTGAGTCTCCTCTTATTTGAACTATTTGTCCTACTTCTGGTTTTAATGCTGATTTGACTCTTGGTTCCTTAACTGAATTTTGGTATCGCTCACGAAGACTAGGTAAATAACGGTTCATAAATATGTCTTTAAATTCTTCTAGAATAATCAAAGTCCTTTTCCATGACTTGACTAGGTTTATTTTGGTTGTTGTCCCCGTTACGGGTATATCCTCTATATTGGTATCAATGCTTATAGTGTTTCCCATTGTGAGGAAGTCGGAAGGAGTTAAAATATGTATCATTTCAGAATCTACGCACGTCAAAGGTCTTGTATTTAATATAGCTTCAATCTCTTTTATTATCGTCATCAACTGATTGTCATTCAAGAGATGTTTCTGTAGAGTCCTTTTCATACAATGTTTGACTTAACCTACTAATCTTTCGTTTAATCCTCCAAACCATGGTGCTAATTGAGGTATGAATTTCCATTGGATTTCTTTCTGTTTGCAATAGGAACTAGTTAGAATTTCTGCTATTAATTTAAATTGTGTGGCGTTATCTGAAGTTATCAATTTTGGTATTCCTCTTGTGGATATCATTCTTTTTAAAGCAAGAAGTCCTTCTTCTGCGGTTAGGTCTTGTACAATCTCCAGGTGTATGGCTCTTATGGCTAAACATGTGAATAAACAAATCCACCTTTTAGCAATTCCTTGGTCAGTTTTGACTAGAACTGGACCTAGGTAATCTATTCCCGTGAACGTGAAAGGTGAACTGTTCACTCGTTCTTTTGGTAATGAAGGTGTATCTGGTAATGTGAATGGACCGCCTCCATGCTTGATACATCTTGGACATTGCCTTAAGACTTTAATTACTTGTACTTTTCCTTGTGGAATCCAAAAGTGTTTACGAATTATGCTTAATGTATGATTTACTCCTACGTGGTAGTTCTCCT